GTCTATTAGATTTACGTTCTAATTTACCTATGTCATTACGTACATATTTCGAAATTTTCTTGCCTGTCCTCGAGACTCTCTCGCGTGCAATAGTAGCTAAGTTGAATGCTTCGGGGGTGACCCCGTAAATGGGTTTTGGAAGTGGAGTGGAACTCCCGCGTAGTTTAGACATAGCAAATGAATGCATACTTTTATTGACTTTGTGACAGCTATTGTTCACCTCCGGAGGACTCCTTCTAAGTTCTGGAACTCGGGTACGGGCCCGTGACACCGCAGGTGTTCAGCTTTTGGAAAAGACAGTGATACAGATCAGCTTTGCTATCTAATGATATTATATCTCATTTTATGGATACTCTTTAGTAGAGAGATGTTGAATTGTTTTGTCTAATTGTAGTTCTTGTGATGTTACTTTGATTATGTTGTTTGATGTTTATTGTGAATGCCTTCATTCGCACAATCCAGTAAATAACAGTGAATGAAGTTAATGAATTGGTAGCCCCAGTCTGGTAACGCTGCATTACTGGTGCTCACCAGTCATCGTCTGTTCACACTTCCTCGTGTGGCAGCCAGCTGCCAACACTTGTCCGTATTAGAACGAGACTTCGCCAAGGCTCGACCCTTAGAATTTGCTTCTAATACCACGAGAGTCGGAGAGTCTACATTGTTCGACGAAAGAGGCAATAATGCAATTGTTTGCTGAATGTGGACTGGTATGGGGAAAGGATGACTGGAGTGGGCCAATAAGAGCAGACGTCCAGGGGGAGGATGCGAAGACACGGGAGAAGCATGGTGCTGACCCCTACACCACGGAGTGCGCTGACTGAACAGAGTGAGAGAGTGGACACTCATGACCGAGGGACGAGATATAAATACTGGGACAACCCCAGACACAGAGTGCTGGGTTACTTTCTCTCTATTTTCTGGGACAGAACATACTACTTTGAAACAACGGAAGAGTTTCTGATGAGAAGCAGAGCGACAGCACCATACCAGCGGGACGTGACTTTTCTTGCATCCGACGGGGGAGGACTCTGTGAACACAGATACGGAGTTGGAGAGAGCGTGGCACTACTCTTTCGTTGCGACCCGGGAGCACTCAACCGACAGAGGAGGTAGGGTAATACTATTGACAGGATGGACATCTCGAGCTTGGTGGCGAGCAGGACGATCAACCCGGAAGGGTTTGCGGTAGGCGCAACAGTCACTGATTGTGGACTCTCTCGGGTTCTGTGGACCACTTATTGGTACCCCGGGTGCGGAAAGCACCGTCATGTGAAGCAACGAGAGGGCTTCTATCCTAAACGGATGTGGACCTGGGACTTTAGTCCACGGCATGTCGTGGATTTCCTTCGAGAGAAGGAGCTGACGGAGGAGGAGGTACTTGCAGGTGGCAAGGTTTTCTTGCTCTACTCGGAGGAGTTAGGCGAAGCACTGCCGGGGTTCCGCTACCACTTGAGTCTGGTTGTTCGTGTGTCCGACGCGCGAGAGGAGTGGATTATCGAGTGTGAACAGCAGGTTGACCGATGTGGAGGATACGTCCGTGACACTCCCTATATTGTAGTTCTTGGAGTGTTGCATCCTGAGACGGATGGATCTGCGATTCAGTCAGAGGATTTCGTTACTCTCTTCGGGAAGAGATTTTGTCTTCTTGGGTATCAGTACACTAGCCCAGGGAAACTAGAGTTTGTTTCGAGTAACTCGCGAGACTACTACTTAAGTTGTCAGATCTAGATTTGATTTAAGACGGAGTTGCTTACAATGTAGATGCTTTATGTCAAATGCACTCGGATGAGGTACTTATGGTGTTATGGATAGGCACCATATCTTTTACTACTCTGGGTGTAGAGTAGCCTTGTTTAGTGGATGTTATACTGTTACATACTTAGTGATAATTAAATGTTAAAAAGTCTATCATGATTGTGGAACTCCGGTATGGGGCGATGGCATGCCTAGATACTATCTGGCTTAGGTAACGACGTTGCTCTAGCGCCTGTATTCTTAAGCGTCCCTCGCTCCGCTCGCTTACTTAGAGAATACAAGCCGTTTTGTTCCTAGTTAATGCTGTTCGTACCGTAGTCAGGTCACCACAACTTATGGGCACAGAGTATCTGTTGTTACCAGACTTCTTAGAGAAGCTGTCCACGTTGTAGATATCCACTTGCGGGCAAGGTATCAATAGAAACCTATAAGGCTTGTTAGGTAGTATAGAAGATTGCGAAGAGAAGACGTAAAAAAATGGATTTATAGAGTTAACCATAGAAATTTCTAATATTTTACTTATTCTTTCGCTTATTAACCAGATTTTGAGAGCTATATGGATGATAAAGACTGAAAGGTTTCTCAAGCCAAAGTCACTAACAATGTATTGGCTCTCAGCTTCATTCACGCATTGTGAGTATTTTCTTATCCTGTGTAATCAGGGCTCGGATCACCCCTTAGCCACGATATATACTGCTTGATTCTCAGCCTCTAACTAAGTATTACAAACCGAGTCACCGAACGGCTTACTAAAGGCGATATCCGAGATAATATCAAGGGTGAGATACTGTAACTTCTAAATCCTTCCAGCAGCTCGATTTCAACATAATTAATATTGTCGCACGTAGAAGGAGGTTTCAAGAAGATTGCTGTCGCAGACAGCCAAGATCTTGCTTGGTGGTCGTGATCGTGGATACATTTCTCGGCTAGCATGATTAAGGCTAGAAAGCGAAGAAGCCATCCATATTCGGGAATGGCTTTTATCCTGCGGCTCTTCTACGATCGTTCGAGATAGACAAGGCTACCGCACAAAAATTCGGTCAAGTTAGCGATATTAAAAGACCTAAGTATCTAAACTTACCCAGGTTGATGGTAGCGGGAAAACTATGACTCTGTTGGTATCACAGGATACCCGTGAAGTAGGATAACTAATGGGGGAACTGATCTGTATTCTGTCTTGTGTCTTTCGAAGAAGTTCCAGCAGAAGTGCTGGAGGAAGTGGCTGTTGGTCTTATAGCCGTCAGTCGGTCTGCCCGTCACGTGGGCAGCCCGGGTGCCGGCAGGACTGCCGGCGACGGAGCCACTTCAACCCGGAGTTCCGGAGTTCCGGCTGTTCCAACTGGTTCTCGCCAGGCTTGATTGAGCAGCCGCAATTATACTTCGCCTCAGTCAAACTTCCGTTTTTGTACTCGCAAGGCCCACAAGCTAAAAAATTTTCTACTAAATAAAGTCATTAATATCATTAAGAAGACACAAGCAGTCTAGTACTAACTCAACCTAGGCTTCCAAATGCCACTGATGTTTACTAGGCATGATTTAAGATCAATAAAGGACCAAAGCCATAAACCGGACCTGGTACTGCAATGGGCTACAATCTTGTACTTCTCATTTAGAACTATCCCCGAGTTGCTATGTACATGTATTTAAAAATCCACATGATTACGTAGCTACACTAGTTCCTAAGCCGAAGCAGAGCCCGCATAGGATAAAGTTATAAGTAGTTCGGAGGAGCATTCTGATGTGTACAGTAAACTCCCCATCTGGAGGAGCTAACTCATGGCTGTAATACCTGCAAAAGCCGCACGCGGCCAAACCCATCTTGTTAGGCAAGTGTCAAGCCTCGGTAACAAAGCTCGTTAGACTGTCCCACATCACTAGGCTTATTAAGCAATAGCAATCGTGCATGCCGCCGAATCGTTTCTCAATCCCACCCTTGACAACGATACTACGGACTAGGGCAATGTATGCGCAGCCGAAATTGGCTTGAGTAGTAGTGTCTTTGAAAGAAGAATCTGGCTGCCAACCAGATCTTGAATATATCCATCTATTACGATATGCGGCGAAAAGGAATGACTTCGGAAGATCCTGAGATGGTCGCGTTGGTACGTATCGGCGATGCGTCACTTACGGAGTAGCCACCAATGTACATGATAGCCGTGTCAAAGGTGGAGAAGCTTCTAAGAAAGTACTACCCAGTTGTTGAAGGGGGACAGGCTAGAGAGAAGCCGACCAGTCGCTGTGATCTTTGCCTTTAAGAAAATCGATTGGGGCGACTTGGGTAGCTGTTACACTAACCGCCCGTTCAAGGCTTCCGTATATATAAAACTCGACGCAGTGTATGTAGTAAATCGGTAAGCTAATTATTCCCTTAGCTAGACTGATTGCAAGGCTATTAACTGTCTAGGCTCTAGACCCGGTCGCAACAGAGGTTACAGCAGAAGGACACCATCTCATTGGTCGCAATTAAGCCGAATATTTAACCGAGTGTAGGGGGCCAGAAGTAGCTGTATGTCCACCGAGTTACTTAATAGATCGGTAGAGCCGTCTGACTCAAAGTCTCTCAAGAGCTAAGGGCACAACATCAGCTCCTGACCTTCAATCTTAGAGAATTGCGACTCTCACTAGGGAAAATGTCAACTTGTGACGGAAACCGAACGAAAGGCACAAGCCTTCTGCGACAAGCGCTTGAAAACTCCCGGTTACTTTCCAATTCGATGGCGGGATCAGCCGACCTCAACGCATCTCCAAGCCAGCAGCGAACCCCAGAAGCGCTTTTATATAAGGCTAAGGACAAATGTGTGTACTGCCGGAGGCATTCGAGTGTTATCTCAGAGTTGGCTCTATGCGAAGATGGCAATAACACAAGCGGCTAAAGATTGTCAATAAATAAAATAGCAAAATATTTCAAGACACCATCCATAAGCTATCCAAAGAATCGGAGGTACCATAGCTATAGCTATGACACGACATAGGTACTGAAAAGAACTTCTTGTGCTGTCTAAAAGCATTTGTTCTCGAGTTCAAGTTAGTCTGACTCCTGAGATCTGGCGTGTATCTTATAGCACACGGTGGTTTGTACACACGCAAAACTATATAGTGTCGTGTAACACTTTTTAACTCTTTGCGTTCTGACACTATTACAAGACGCTCCCCGGCAGCTGGAAGACTAATTTTTAATTAGGATACTGGTCTATTAATTCTGTCTTTCCTTCTAACAATACGTCAGCGTTTAGTCGTACGCTTCATCTGACCATATCACTCATGCTCGTCTTTCTGAAACCATCCCCGTGATTCCCAATGTCGCTCATAGAGCTGAGAAGACCAGCTGCCCTGAAATGGTGGAATAGTGCCGGTTGTGTTGTAATACAGTTGTGCGGTTTTCGTCCCCTTGAGCCCTCGCAGAAGAACCGTAACAAGATGTCGTAAGCGTCGCTAACGTCTTTTAGAGTTACTTCCTGCAGCAGCTTCCTCGCGCCTTTCTGGCTAACTGCGTATCCCAGTGTACATACGCCCTCTTGGGCGTGGTGTACCGCTCGCGTGTGCTCCGGGTATTTCTCTATTAGCGTGAACGGGATGTTGAACGTCCAGAGATTCTTTTTCGGCGCGACGGTAACGTCATTTGTGTGGATGATGCGAGTCCTGGGGACATTCTTGTTATTTTCAAACGGGAAAGGCATACCGCAGTGGCCGATCCAGAGAAGGTCCCAGTCGTCGCCATAAGGAGACAATCTCGGTGGGACTGTTGCTGGGAGGTGGTGGAAGGGGATATCGATGAATGTTCCATCACCGGTAGGGTTTTTGTACGTAGGGTCTGCGTACGACAGAGGCGCGCCTATAAGCGGTTGTATAAGCGCATGAGTTGACACAGCGAAATCACGCAGTTGATCTCTGATTCTAACGTCCCAGTCGACGTCGTCTTCTAGAATTAGGACGGAAGACAAATTCCTGCGGACGACGCTAGACGAAGTCTGTCATTTAGCTCATGGTGACTTTGCTGGATTCAAGAAGGAGGATCAGCATACTCTGCAATAGCGTTCATGTGTCCGCGCCAGCACCCTATGGCGCCGTTACTTAGCCGATCATGCTCGGTTGTTTTAGGGATCGCCTTTTCCACTACCGTGTCGCCAGCAACGCTATCAATGAACTCGATATCTAAATTGTTGAGAGAAGACTGGAGAACCATGCTATCTCGGCGATCTGTCCGTGGAGGCAGACTAACAACCAGGATCTTCTCAAACTAGAGTTATTAGGGTAGTCAACAACACGTTCAGGTACTAAGGGACTTGAAATGCTCACGCCCAGGGTGCTATTTCCAATACTGTTCATTAAGCCTGAGTAAGAGGTAGACTTCCGGCTCTCCCCGACGTCGTTGACGAATGGGTTATGCAAAATGAAAATGAAAGTTATGAAGACTACGCCGACAACAGACAAGTCCCTTTTAGACGTTGATCTGCTAGGTAAATACGCCATGTTCATTCCGTCGGCGAAAAATCGCCTTCGAGATTTTGATCCCTTAAAATACGGAGCTAGCCTTGTGATACATAGCAATGGGAGACTGTTTGAGTAATAACGGATTTGGAAGCTCCTGCAGAGAAAGTTTCGACGTCTAAAACAGGGAAAGCAAATTTTAAATATTACAGACTTAATGCCAAGACGGTATTGGAGCCGTTCTGGCATTCACCAGGAAGTAGTCTTAGCTTCCGGTGGGTAAGGCACGCTGGCCGTTGCGTGTAGTCAGTAGTGCCTATTTAGGTTATTCGGACATTCGATTTATTTAAATCAACATGCGACTGGTGTAAACCCCGGTCGAGGGAAGCAAGTGTCGAGCATGGCTATATTTAAAATCGGAACCGACCCAAAAGACGACGAAGAACAGAGGACTTTGGACGAATATGACGAAGATGCCTTTGATCACAAGATGGACCTGGAGGTAAAAAAGGGAATTCCTCTCTAGGTTGAACAGCGGTAATCATTAATTGTCGTAGACCGAGATGCTACAGTATGTACCTTTCGCACACTATGTCGCGTTTCACGCTGACTTAGATTGGAGAGATCGTCGCAAGCTCGTTAAGCGTTTCGTGCTATACTGCAAAAGTTTCGGCATATCGATTGAGATACTCTTCTTAGCAGTAAATTACGTAGACCGCTTTCTCTCTAAGAAAACCACAGGAGATCATCTCGGAATTCTAGGCGCAGTCGCTTTCGTATCGGCTGCCCAATACCTAGGAGGGAGAGATTGTAATCTTTCGGTTTTCGATCTTCACCCCCCATACAATATCTTTTATGAAAGTAGTGATATACAGGAGATTCAATTACAGCTGCTGAAGACTATAGACCACTCTCTTGGAACGCCGAGTCCCTTCTACTTTCTAAGTCATATAGTAACTATCGATAGGCTACAGCTGGACGTTCTGAATCTGTCACAATACTTGGCTGCGAGTACCGTGCTGGATGAGAGATTTCTTGGTATCAGACCGAGCCAAGTCGCAGCTGCATCGTATTTTCTCTCCCAGATGCTGCTTAGGACGTTTTCACGCGGACATGATCGTTCAAACCTAGTCTGGGTAAGTAGATATTGTGTGGTTCGGCTTGGCAATTGACACGGACAGTCAAACGAGCACTCCAAAGTTTCACAATACGAGAAACGCGAGATAAGGCTTCTATCATCGTTTATCCTACTTAACATACGGCAGAAGGGTGTGGTTGAGTATCTCGACATACTTATAAATGATAATGACGAGTTTATGTACGTCGCTAGTGTCACTGACAAGGCGAGGAGAGCTTGCGTCTCTATTAATGCTCTACAAGTCAAATCCTACGGCGTTTCGGAAAGCAAGAGAACACCCCAGTAGGCTTTCTTAGTTTAATAGTTGATCTAAGTTGCGTCTAAAGCCCCAGTCCCCAGGTAGTTCCCATGATATGTGTTTTCAGCATACAAATTAGTTACTATACAGTGACATATTTATTGTTTTGCTCTAGCAGTTCGTGTCTTATTTGACGAATAGACCATGGCGCAAATGTTGTGCACCAACGAAGATGTCTTTCTGTTGCATCGATCGTTAATATCGCCCGCGCTAGACTCAGATTGTTTCAGCGAATGCATTCAAGCCAACTAACAATCTCGATCTGCTAATTCGGCAACATCTACCGTCTACCGAACCCCGGAGAAAGTGAATGAGTACGTCCCCGCGGCAATCCATCCAGCTATGCCCACGGTTACCACACATAAGAATCCAAACCAGAGGGCAAGGATAGCAGCGAACTGCCACGCATGTGCAGCTACAAACCACAACAACATGCCAATAATCCATTGAACGGATGCACAGTCCAAGAAAAAAATCGGGATAAATGCCACAACCCAACTAGCACGGCCAGAGTTTTCAGAATCGCGACATTCGAACGAGAGCATAATCGTTATCGTGGCGGTGAAGGCTGTTGTGATGGCAGAACTAACCAGCAGAAGCCTCGACAAAGTAGCCAGCATCGACGTCGTTCTTGGTGGGACATTCGACAACACGGCCATGGCGTTGGCACCCAAAACAGCGCATGCGAGAAGGATTATCGGGTACAGGCTCTTTAGTCGTTCAACCGCTGTAGCTACAGCATTGATTAGCAAGCTTACTGTTGTATGCTTTCTCAATGGGCGGTAAAACCTTTGTGCTGTCTCGGCATGAACATTTTCGCTTCTGTAAAACTCATTGCGGAATGAGCTGTTTGGTCGCTGGTGTGTGGATAGACACTCGAAGAAAGGCTGTTGCCGAAAAGACCAGCTATATAGATGGATTCAGATTGGTTATGGTATCGTACAGTGCAGACGTGACCGAAACGCGTTTCTGGTTTTTGGGTGTTGGAAGCGAATCCGTTGCACATGTTTATAGATCTTCCAGCTGATGAGAACTGGTGCGATACGTGATCGTCACTGGCACATTGACGGCAGTGCTTTCATCAGATAGCTGCAACTGGCTCTTGGCATAGCCTAGCAACCAGGATAATGTGGAGGCTGCGTTTTTGTCTCATAGAAAAATCAGCTTCTGTTAGTTACAGGGGTTTGCGAACGGATCCATCCCATTTCCAGTACACTTCTGGTTTTTCGCACGGACGTCTAATGCTTTGGCATGCTTTGGAGCAAATATTGGCTCTTTTGTCATTGCAGCGGGGTTTCAAGAGGACGAAGGACTTTCGGCTGATCAGTCTGCTAAAGTCTGATCTTTGTGTGCGTAAAAACGTACAGTTATGTGCAAAAATATCTTCCTCTTTGAATACACACAACTTCACTCTTAAATCAGAGTGGAGCCAGAAAAGTACTCAGATCTACCTAGCATGGTCGACAATAATCCAGAAATGGCTCTAAAATAAGCTGCAATTGGCAGTGATTACCTAGCGCTGGAGGTACTCAAAGGTATATAGCAAATGCCCGTGTTTGATCCAATTACATAATGACAGTGTGGGCGACAGGCCACAATACCTGGAATAACCGCTTTTTCCTAGCCGGTATGCAAGTGTGTGACTGTAGATAGTGTGTTTCAGAGGGTATTTCACACTATGTGGAGAAGCTTTAGAGAATAAAAGAGTGTTTTAAAAGAGGAAGGAATATTTGCACATAACTGTACTAAAACAGCTGCACAACAGGAACAGCTGCACAACAGGGGGCTCAAAGGCTGAAAGCACATTCCCATCGGGATTACACAAGCCGAAGTCAGATCCCTCTTTTCTATAGCATTCACATTTTTAGAACTAACTATGACTGCTATATCCGCCTCGCAGGTTTACAGACTAGCGTTATACTATATACTTCGGATGACTGGAGCTTATAATTATGATGCAAATCGGTCATTATACTTCTCGTCAAGGCAGTACAGCGAGTTCTACTCCCGGCTCTGTCCGGATAAATAACGTTTGATAGCCCAGAAGACCCACAAATTAACGCAAGGTCCGTGAACCGCGCGGCATCCAGTGCCGTCAAATTCGAGTTAGATAGCGCTCAAGGCATCTAAGGTAGTAAGAGTCAGGATAATAATATATGGAATAAACCACCGCATGACTCACAGGGTAGGCTGTGTGGTGGCCACGGCTTTGTTCTCTCCTTATGCTGCAGAGGCTGCATGACATTATAAGCAGAAGCAAAAATATACACGCGAGTCCTCCGATAATGCCAATTTCGACCGGTGTCATTGCGGAGGTGAATGAAGAGTATCAAAAAGGATGAATGGCAGAGGCATAGTGTTTCTATATACATGCTATAGCAGAATCAAAATTTGGCTTACGGCTTTCGTGCACGTGGTTCGGCTTAGCATAGTGCCCAGCTCGGCAAAGAACTATTTGACTTCACGATAGTCCGTGTGTTTTCCTTGCTTTAGCCCCTATAACGCATACGCAGCGTATAGCAAATACAGTAATGGCGCTGTAGTCCACTGTAATTATGACGGTGTAACCGGCCGTCGCCACTGAGCTGGTGGTGACATGGGGGCCCCACGAGTCCCTGTAAAAATAGCGCCTTCAAGGCCTAATGTGCTGTTGTAGCCGGATCGTTGCAGCTAGCTGCTCGCGTACCCCCATCTCACTTCGCAAGCTGGGAGAAGCCGAGAGGCCAACTCGACATGTTCAACGTCAGGTTATTCCTGTCACAGCCCACTTCGCATCCGCCGTGCAGAATCACATACCAATCGCCGTCTTCAACCATCAGTCCTGTCGAATACGTCACTACAAAATGAAAGGCTGCTGAGCTCATTGGAAAATCTCTCCCGAACTACGCGGCTTATGTCTTGATTAGGAAGAATAATCTGATCCAGCAGTCGAGGAGGTTGCTCTTATGGCGTAGTCGATAGAAATCACAACTAGTCTTTTGGCTGCTTTCATCGTCACGAACGGAGGAAACACGGAGGCAGCGACTCCAACCCTATCATCGCTCCGTCGATACACACTGATGATGAGCCATTGCTTGAAATTAACAGATATGGGCCGTTGCAGAAATGGTAGGCCGATTGTATAACGGCCCTTCTCATACTTGATCTAAGATAGACGGCGTAGGCATACGCCATAGTCGCTCAATTTCGAGATTGTGTGCGGCAAGCGCAGTACTAAAAAATTGAAGACCTAACATCGCGATTCTCGTTTCCCCCATAAGACCCTAATAAGTAATCTGCAGTCGGTTGACGTCAGAATCTTGCCATACTATAGGTCGGACTATTCGCTACACATGGTGATGCATCAGCGTGGCTGACTCAGCCCTGCATAAGTACCGCAGCCTCCACAAGCCAATAATGTACGCCAATGACCTCCAAAAGCGGCTTCGAAAATGCAAAATTAAGAGGTAGCAAAGTTTGCAACCAGTTTTGCAATGGCAGGAGCCTATGATGGCGCTGAATAGGCGTCGCTCTGAAATCTCTGCGCGCGATTTTCTCAACGATCATGTATTGTTCTTCCCGTAACTGCTTTCGCTTTCATATCAGATTATACGGAGTTGTTTGGCATGTAAGCAATATCTGTACTATGTACTTTCTTTACTTGAGCTTTGTGATAGTCTTCATGCAACTTAGGAGTGGGCGTAAACACCGTACTTGGGCCACGCTTAACCTTGGGATAGCCGAACTCCGCCTTGGCCTGGCCCCTTGGCATCTATTCTGTGCTCGGAATGAAGCTCCTTCTTCAATGGGACGCGCTTGACCAGGAGGCTCATCAGAAGCGCCGCCCCTGACATCCCGACGTACAGCCCGTAGACGCCTCGCAAGCCGTACACATAGGCGTCCAAGATCTTGGCCCTCAGCTCAGCATCGGTGGAGGAGCGCAACATGGCTGCAACGGCGTGTGTATCTCCTCGTGCGTCGGAGCCTAACGACCCATAATTCTCCAACTTGAGTAGCATGACGTTCTGGAAGGTGGAGCCGCCAATGCCGACCCCGAGTGCCATGCCAAATTGCCTAAGGAAAGAATACATTGCAGCGGCTGCACCCTCGTCGCCGTCGTCGCAGATGGCCTGGGAGGCCATGTTCTGCGCGTTCAAAATGGCGCCGTGGCCAAGACCAAGCAGAACAAGTGTTGGCGCCCATACCTTCGCTGGCGTGTCGACATCCCAGAGCAGCATCAGACCGGACGCAATACTGGCCAGAGTCCAGCCGGCCCAGATAGGATTCCGGTAGTTGTCCTGTTGTGTCACGAGTCGACCGGTGATGATGGACGCCGGCACGAGTGTGAACATCACCGGGAAGAGTGCGATGCCAGTCTGCACCGGCGTGAAGCTCTTGACATCCATGAAGTAAAGAGGCACGTAGTAGAGCTGCCCGTACATCTGCAATCGTTGTTAGCGGTCCACTTCGTCCATGCAACATCATGTCGCCCTTACCACAAGCCCCTGGATCGTGCCGCAAGCATAAGTTGCAATGGAGCCTGCGGTTTGGAAAAGTCGCCCACGCAAAAACGGATAGGCTGCGAAGCGATACTCGTACATCACGGTCAAGGCCATACCAGCCGCACCAAAAACCAGAGGCAGAAGGGTGCCGATGCTGCTCCAACTGTAGCGCAAGCCGCCCCAGGAGACAGCTACCAGCAACAAAGTTGCGGAGCAGACGAACAGGGCGTTGCCGAGCCAGTCCATCTTTCTCAGTCTCTCATTCATAGGTGCAGCCGAGGATTCGACATTAGCCGAGCAGGGCACAAGAACGAAGCCGGCGGCGCAGAAAGGAAACATGATGTAGAATATCCAACGCCAAGTGGTGTTCTGAGCAATGACGCCGCCTAGTATGGGGCCAGCGCAGTTGCCCAACGCCCACGCGCCCTGACTGTGAAACGACCTGCGTGTTAGCGGACGAAAAGGGTATTTTGGAGGGGGCCTCCTCACACGATGCCGTACCACTTGGGCCGTTGCCGCAGAGGAACAAGATCAGTGAAAATGACCAAGCACAGAACCATGATTCCACCACCACCGACGCCTTGGAGTGACCGCCCGACCAGCATTAAGCCGATCGAGTGCGATAGGCAGCAAGCTATGGTACCGAGAGCGAAGAAAGCAACGGAAGCGGTCAAGCACAGCCGTCGGCCGAGCACATGGCTAAGTTCAGCGATGAAGGCATCATTACGGCGTTGGCTAGCAGATAGGCCGTACCGATCCAAAAGCCGTCGTACGTACTAAGCCCAAGGTCCTCGATGACAACCTGCGACTGTAAGCTTACTTTATAACGAACTTGGCCTTGCGAACATGACTGACATGTAATGAGGTTACGATGACGCAGGCGTCGAGGGCGACCATAAGTGACAGCATAGCCAGGATTGCCATCAGAAAGAGGTCGCGTCTCTGCGGCTTCCACTCGATTGGCATGTTTTCATCACCACAATCTTCGGCACGACCACGATCAGTAGACTGCTGTTGATGCATATTGTGTCTAGAGATGGATTCAGAACACAAAACAAGATTTTGAACAATGTACCTGTAGACTGTAAAAAAAGTACTATGCAAGTTCCAGGTCTGAATCTGGTGGACTGCGTTATCTTTATAGCCATATTTATGTGCAGATAACCCTTCCCCTTTGAACTCAAACACTTGTTCTTTAACTCACTCAGCATAGAGCATACAGAATACCTGGAGGTACCTAGCGAGATCGAAAAAATCCGAAAATGGCTATAAAACAAGCTGCAACTGTTTGTGACTAGGCAGTGCGGCTTGTATTCAAAAGTACATAAAGTGGACCTTGAATACCCTATCTGATAGCACTAGAAGGAAACAATGTAGGTGATATATAAGCAAAAACACTTGGCACCGTTGGCCTGGACGACAGAGAGATTTGCGTTTTGTGATCCATTAGGCATCGAATTGAACTACAGCCCCTGGCTAGGGACATGAAATGGTGGTTGAATCTAGCTGTCGAGTCCTCTGTTGAAAAATCGATATATGATTGCCTGAACTGCTGTTATACCATGGGTCGACGCCGTCAGAAGTGCTGTTTGTCTCTTGAGTAGTCTTTCTTTCTTTCTTTCTTTTTTTTTTTTATTTTTATTTTTAGCGCTGCTGTTGATAGGAGACATAATGTGCGGTTCCTGTTTTGTCCCTATAGTAAAATCCACTTCCAGCTTTGATACGACCGTTGTGTCTGCGCATCCGTAAATGTCCATTCCCAAAGCAAGCTCTTGAAACCTAGATGTCCATACACTTAGACAACCCCAAGTACAAAACTCTCAAAGTTTCCAAGAAATCTACAGAAGGTCTCGCTATGCATCCGAGTCAAAATGGACGAGTACGAAGTCTTTCATCGTCTTGCTACGTACCCTTTCTCCTCTTCAACAATGGAGATGTTCCAATGCGCTCTGCGACTCATTCGAAGTCGCTACCCGATAGCCTTCTACCGCGACGCAGAAGATACAGCCGTAGAGTTTCCACCAATGGAAGATTTCTTTAAGCAAGAAAAAATGCCACTCCATGTCACTGGCAAATGGATCAGTTATATGCAGACTGTGGCCTGTTCTGTTAATACTGCAGAACAAGGGGTCTCCCCGTCGTTGTGGCGTCTTGCCCGAGACGACCACGTAGATATCGACGTAGTCACTGATTATCTCCAGCTATTACGGTTATCTTACCCGTCTTTCCACTTCACAGACCCCGTCCCTATCGCCCCTGACACCATCGAAAACGTAACAGGGCTTCTGGGCACACCAGATGCCATAACCCTCATTCCATGCCATTACAACGGAGCCTGGTTTACCGCCATTGCCTACACAGATTGCGTGCAGTTATACGGGATGCACGTTGAAGACAGCCCAAAGATAGAACAGCTGCTACAAGTCTTGTTTCCCCGTCGTTTGATCCGTTTCTCTCGGCCACCCCTGGCGGCGCGTCTCGAGGACTCTGGGGTGTGGATGCTTTTGAGCATGCGGATGCTAGTCGCTGGAGGTTTACCGATGCAGCATGTCGACACTACATTTCTCCGGAGCTCGAGAGCACGAATTTTCATGGAGCTGCTGATGAAGAAACTTGACGTGAAGGAATCTGATGTTTCAACCCGGATTCAGGAAGCACAAGCAGAAAACTCTCTCTTCTTCGACGAGGCCTTCATATCCGAAGACTACGTCCCCACACCGTCAAGCTCAATCTCCACAGCTGACAGAGAGGAAGACTACAATTTTACACTGGGTGGCTCTCCCGAACAAGTCAGCCGATCTTCTCTATCGCCTGAAGAGCAGCCCTCGTCCAGAGAACAATCTTCCAGCGCAGAGACGACTGTGTCGGCACAAGCTCCGCGCAGTCCATCATCGTCCCCGCAACCGCCGTCCCCGCAACCAACCGAGCCCACCCGTAAGAAGCTCGCCTCGCTGCGCAGCAGCCACATCCCCGACACTAGAGTGCCCGGAATGCCGCAAAGAATGCCCAAGCAGTGCAAAGACATCCTTGACATGTTGAGCGAGGCTGTGGTTTTTTACCGAAGTTCTCGCATGTCGGAAAAATCGGAACTGTCAGTAATATGGTCTGCTATGAACAGCGGCTTCAAGAGCGAGTTTTACAGACGCTACATCTGCGTGCTGTTTTATAAGCAGATGGACCGTCTTGCCAGTGATGAAAAGTTTGCTATACACGTAAAGACCAGGATGTCATACTCCGAACGAAGAAAAATGAACTCTTTCAAGTCGCGGTGCAAAATCTGGCATGATATCTGCGAGCTCCGCCACAACTGGGGACCCGCCAAATATGCGCTTCTTTGCGTTATGCCAGAAAAGCCAAACTTGGAACATATGAAAACCCGGGAGCGGGGGGGGCAGCTCAAGCAACTAGGTGAGCGGCTCAATGATAAGTATGACGACCTATCGAGCTATGTAGAAGCGGCGACAGGTCTATGCACAGCTTTGGTCCAAGGCAGTCTCCCATGCGGTTTGATGATTGATGACTATCGTTTGAGGCCGGACCAAGAGTTCATGGAGCCTGAATTTGCTGCTTATACAAGCCTCAATCCGCGGCCGGTGATCTCAATCCCAAGACGGACCTCTGGCTAGACACCAAAAACAGTCATTAGCGAGCTAGATTGGATATGGCACAATGCAGAACAAGCGGTAAACAAGGTTCTCTTTTGAAACACTTTGAAATATATTCAGCAATTGATTGAAGATGAGAAGTATTTAAAACAAGCCTTAGGTGATATTGAGGCTTTTGGCGAGGAGTATGCGTGGTGCATTGTAAGATCAGCACTATTCCTTTTACGCCTATTGATGGAAGCTTATAAAGCTAGCAACCTTATGGGAATTAGTCTCCGACTCAACGTGTGCCATCTCTAGCCTGCTTGAGAAGTACTATTTACATTAAATCGCTTATTATGCCTATCGAAGCAGACCCTGCTAGCCTAAAGCTGATTTAAACTAAGGGTCTATATTATACTTCGAAGTTATACTTAGCTGTCTCATCTGGTACAACTTGAAATCTAATAGCTATTAAAACCTATAGAATTCCTTGAGTCTTCTAATCAAGTCAGCGCCTATATTCTAATTATCGACTTGACTCGTTAGATCGAACGAACAGACATGGCAAGCTTCGTAAAGTAGAAACTACTAGCAGAACCAAGTCCAAGAACGAAAACGTCAACAGCCAACATCATTTATTTGCCTAACTAAAGACTGAACAATGATACGATATTCGCTACTAAATATCGTCACAGTGAATCAGAACTTTGGAATTCCTTTTCTGTCAGCTGCAAAAAAAAAAAAAAAAAAAAAAAAAAAAAAATCTCCTTTACTGGGGCTTGTTCTTTGCCTCACTGGGCGCCAAATCGACGACGCTCAAACACAAGCCATGCAAGTCAATGATCAGGCGATATTGTGACTGCCACCTCCTAGCCTGGTCCCTTACCCGTTCTTTTTCGGCCTGATCTACGCTCCGCCATGCCCCGGGCGGGTTAAGCCCACTGAGCGACCTGACTTTTGAACCGCTTAGCGACGAAGTCACTTCAGCCGACCCCGCGTGCGCATCTATCTGATGGGCAAGTAGGCAGATGCGGCACGCAGCATTGGTGAGCCGTTAGTGGGCTGCCAGGCTTCTTCTCAATGAAAGTTTTTAGCCTCTTCTCCAGCGGGGAGGCGTCTTCCAGCTTGTCGAGTATGCGCTTGATGTTGACCAGGCGGCCTGGGTGCGGTTGCAGAAGGGCAGCGACACAGGCGATGGTTTTCCACGTCTCTATGGGCATCATCGCCATATGAAGCTCGGGAGTGAACTGGTAGCGACCATCCTCCAAGAATTTACCTTTGACTAAACCACGAAAAACCGCCTGAGACGGCAATTATGGAGGGATAACCACGATGTGGAGACGCAAGGCCAGGAACGTGCTTGTGACCAGCTATAGTTTCCTTTCGGCTTCGCGTCGAGCGTCATAAATTGCTGACGTATGTGTATGTTAGATCAAACAACTAAAAGAGGGGAGACTTGAGCGACATACCCTATCCGCGAGGAAGTTTCAATTTGGTTCACCAATTTACCGAATGTACTGTACTGGGAACGCGTAATCTTGCTATTAACTCTCGATACCGTACCGATGCCCGAGGTTTTCCCTACTTGCTAGGGCATTAAAAATAGCTTCTTTGTTTTGAAAGCTTTGTAATGCCTCTGCTAATCGGTGAATAGAGCCAGTACTAGATGTTAGAACCCTTGGCCCAAAGCCGCTTCGGTTGATCTTATAGGGAGTGTCTTGACGTCCCTGATGACTAATTGTGCTTTTCGATGGGTTAAATGCCGTCAGAAACAGCTGTGGCGATGGCTTTGTGGCGGATTGCATACGCTAAACAGATGGCCAACACTATTTATGCGCCTGTTTCTTATACGTCTCCGGTTGGCTTCTCTAGATCACTTAAGCAAACCGGCTAGCTGATTTCCTCACAATGATTTCCAAAATACTAACAGCCTTCCACGTCATCTCGGCGGTAGTCATACTTGCGTTGACCGTAAGGGTACTGCAAGATGAAGAAAACGAGAAGAAGGGCATAGTCCAAATTCTGGTGCGTAATCCGTCCTCAAGAAAGGCCGTGACTAACAATAAAAAAGCTGCATGAGCATGCGCGCCGCTTCGTCCAGGTTCCCGATGTGGTTGGTTCTATTGCTACTGCGGTGAAGAGCGCGGCCTCCAGCGTGATCACCGCCGCGGTCGCATCTGGCGAGTCTTTAGTGGCCGCGAGCCTGCCTTCGAGCGTGTCAGTAGGAACGAAGTACGCATGTGTGGCTTCCCAATGCGTCGCCATCCCTGGCTCTGCTTTTAGTCTGGTCCAAGACGTCGCCTCATTTCTCCCTTCGCCCGAGGAAATCGAAAGGTTGCAAGAGCTGGTGGATAAATGTCCGAACATGGAAACCGTTCTGTCCGCCGGGCTCGGTTTGGCGTTAACTTCAACTATATTCTTGCTTGCCGGTCTCAAGTTCAGGCTTCTCAGCTTTGTTTCACTCGGATTGAGTGTCGTTTCTGCAGTTCTTTTTGCAGTAGTGACGTTCTTTTCGGTTTCGCTCCATAAAACGTCTCAAGCTGTTGCGGACTTGCTGGACGTCGAAGTGCGCAAAGGGGATGTTTTTGGGGCATCTGTTGGCGATTTAACAGCAAGTTTGATTATGTGCGCGCTGGCCCTCTATCAGATCATTATCAATTAGAAAGGGGATCGATAGTTGGAAACGTTCCCATAGGCGAATATAGGCTTTATTCTGTCATCAATTCCGTCACTAACGACGGTAGTAGTAGAAAGCCTGGAGACGAGATTCACAAATATCCTCATAGTCAGGCCCAAGACTTATAGTGGATTGATTATCCAACTCACAGACTGATGCTTTAATAATAATGTCGCAAGAAGACACCCATGCGCCAAAGTACTGTACTTTTCCTACATCTAACATCATTTTGGGTCGTTAAGCCCATAATGGCTTGTGTGAAAGTAGATCAAGCAACTAGTACATCTAAATTTATTTAAGCTATGTATAAGACAAGCATACAGTAGTGCCGAGGATAGCGCTTCGTCCACGTCTCGAAAGGCAATATTTTGTCAACCCGCCTTCCTGCTACTTTCTTTCAAACGTCGCCACACCATCCTTCGCTTCTCTTCATACAATTTGATTTGCATATCATGGAAATTCATGGCGTTGTGTCACTCAGGCTCACGATCGTATTCACTTCAGGAGTGGGAAGCGTGGACAGCCAGAAGTTCGATAAACTGAAACATTATGTGTCCCGTTACTCAGACATCCGCCCATCAGATATCAACAACGACTCTCCTGTGGTGGTCAGTCAGCAGACTTTGGAGACGACATTAGCTTACCTTGGCATATCAGCCGATCGAGTGCGCTCCGAAAGCTATTCGAGTGGCAAGTTTGCGACTCTCGTAGGCTGCCAAGTGGCGGGCTCGACCGATCAACACCACAGCAGCAAGAGAAGTATCATCGACACATCAAAGTGGACAACCGCAGCGGATGAATTACAACCTGTAATTGATCGCATCAAATCCAGCATTCAGAGGCTCAACCATCAATGGCAGATATTGGACGACGCACAAAAGCGACTCAAAAGGTTGGCTGCCTCGACTCTAGATGAGGTAGACTGGGACGATCCGGTCGTCCGGATACAATCAGAACTGGATCTATTTGATTCCGAGGAGGCGGACCCATGACCAGCGAAGAACCTTGGTTAATGACCACTGGCTTTGGGCTATTCGGGCCTCCCTAAATGTATTTACTAGTACCGAGACCATCCTCATAACCTTTACTTCCTGAATGCTTACATACATCTATCTTTGCCACTGTTATTTGTGGATCAATAAAGCTCCTGATCATTCGATGTGATCCACTTAGATGTCATCTTTGTTCCCTGACGAAGGACCCGTTGCTTTCAGTGGTGGCGCTGCTCGCAGAAGCCAGGATGCGAAAATGACAAACTGCTTTCTTCATCTGTGGGAGAAGAGGCGTGTTCGTCTGTTGGCTCAAGTCTGACTATGGCAGACTCGCACTCGTCTGTGTATTTAGGGGATCTTGTCAGGGAAGGCAAGCTTAGGAGTACTTGGGCACGCCTGTGGGAGTTCTTCAGCGCTTGTCGAAGGAGACTGTTTGCCCCCTCTTTGCGTCTGGTGCCAACTGTATGAATAGGAGCTGATGGCATTGTCTAACAAAATAAGACGTTTGGGCAGTGACCGCTTAAGGATTTCTGGACTGCCACCAGCGCCCCCCTTAAGAACTTTTACCAGGGGTTAGACATGAGCAACTCGGAATGCCATGATGTGAATACAGTGCCATGTGAAGCCAAAAGGGATAAGGCACTTCTTTTGAAGGGAGCCAGGAATGGCTCTGATTGTACACGTGGCGGTTGGGAAGCAATCCATTACGTCCAAGGACTTACAGTTGAATCCGACATCGGTTTCCGGCATTACTCTCCTAGCGCTTCCAACCAGGATACAATAATGAACCTGTTTGCTGACACGGTACCTGCGGACATCTCCACAATGCTTTCCAGAGAGCAAGAGATACCGACAGTGGCAGCTATTATGGGCACTTCACCCATTTTTTGCAGAATCAAGAGCTTGCTGTGGGTTACACACAGGAGTATTAACATTTTTCTAACAGGTATTTTGCATGGGGTTTTCTGTACCTTCTCAGCAAATAGACACCAAAATGCCCAAGAAAAAGAAGCTTCTTATGTGTAAAGTATGAAACCAGATTCGAACGCGACTGTACCTCTCACAAGCGTTGCCAAGCAATGAGATCACCATCATCAGCAAGCGGATCAAAATCGAGCCTCGATCCACGAGACACAAAGTAAGCCAACAGCCAATTCTACAGTAACTAAGGCTATAACGAGACGATTTAATCTTGACAACGTGGGTGCTTGAGTAGTAAATCACTAAGTCAGATCCGTCCCTAGGAGGTTTGATTTCAGCATCTTTATGTGCAGACACTTCCGCCTTTGCTACTTAGAAGACCCACTATACAGCAGATTTAGGGACCCCAAATACGATCAAGTAGCTCTAAGAACCTATCCCAGACCATGTTCGCAAGGTTTATTGTTTAGACATTCAAGCCCGTCAATCAGCCGGCTGGTAATCAAGCTCCCGAAGGCAGAGGTTGCTCTCGAGATATTCGCGAATGGCTCGTTCCCTCCGGTACGTGTTGTAAAGCGGGTGACTTTCCTTGATAACGAAACCCCCTGCGAGGTCGCAAAGTGCGTCTCGCGTTTCATTTGCAGTGGACACTATAGTACCAATTAGCAGGATACGCAGCTGCAAGAACAGGCCCTACCAAGAATTAGCATGTCTCCTATCTCCCCAACTGCTTCTGGCGGTGTGACGTCGAAGAGGCGTGATGCCTCACTCCACAAGCTCGATGCGAGGTCTGGGCTGCCCACATAGAGCCGCGCCCTCGTGCCGAAGTCCTTCACCCGAGCCGGTTTGCCATGTAAACGACTTGTGCCGCCGTAAATATGCTTCGTGACAAGCTTTTCGACATCAGACGCGTTCAAGAGGTGCGTCGAAGCGTTTTTAGTTATCAAATCGTCGCTAAGGCAACCCGGAATGAGCATTTTGAGATCTTCCACGGTCATCCCATTTGCCTGCATCTCGTAATAAATCGAAATCTCGAGGATCTACCCGCAAAGCGTCGAGGAAAGAAGTTAGCTAAGTTCTGAGAATTAGACACGTGTGCATATACATAGCCATCGTCCAATGTGTCGTCGTTGAGTATAGGGTTCAGGATTGATTCCGCCGCATGTACGATGCCTATCGTAATAGTTAGTCAATTGCCACGGTGAATATTCAGCTTATTGGTACAACCCACCAAGATTGGTCACCTGCCAGATGAGGTGTATCTGTCGCGTGCGCCCTCTGCAGTGGTTGTATCCGTAAACAAGCTTCTTCAAGTATGGCGCCTGGGCTGCGATCCCGTGGTCAGTAGCCACCATGAATACTGCCTCATAGTCCCACACTGGTATGCTGACTCCGTGTGGCCCAGAGAAAAGGGCCAGTCGAGGCACGACGTGTTCGTGGGAGTACCGAACCAGGCTGGAAGTGAATCCTCGTCGGGGCTTGATGAAGAGGTCGACAATGCCTTGTTCCGCTTCCGCCCACGAAGTCACGACGAAGGGGTGGCACTCAAACAGCCGGACTCTCGGCATCCACAACAACAGGTACTGGCCCGCTTCGAACTTGAGTGGTCGGGACAGCGTGATGGAGATTCGCACGGTTCCAGTAACGTGGTCTATGTAGGCTCGTCCAAACGTTTGCCCCATAGCCTTGTTACGAAATGCCACCAAGCAGCCTTGTATCATAGTGGCCAAAGCAGTCACGCCAAGGTAGATATACACCCACTGCCAAGATCGGCCAGCAATCGATAGCAGATGCAGTGCAATCCCCACTGCCGCCAGAGAAGCGAGTGCCTGGTGGGTTCTGAGACAAAGCTCGTAGATACGGCGACGGAAAAAGGGTAAGAAGGAAATCGTCGCCGCTGCGACCATTGCGATGGAACCCTACAAGACGAAAAAAAAAAAAACACATTAGATTCGATAAGTCTAAACGCCGGCGAAAACAATAATAAGAACACGGATTACAATTAGCATGAGAAGCTCGTTAACACGATCCGGTACCTGGACCTGGTATTGGTTGTTTTGCATAGCACTGACGATATGAGCCGCTAGAAGCATCGCTGCTACGCGACCCTGCCACCTGTGCATTGCCGCGTAATGCCGAAAAGGTATAGCCAGTATGTCTGCCGTGAGGTCCAAGCAGGGACTGGCAAAGAGAGGGAGTGTATTGAGTAAAGCCAGGTTCCCCGAGCGGGAGAGAAACGTAGACGGTCGGAATGCCAGGCAAAACGCGTTTACGCCTATGTACACTGTTGGAAGTAGCAAGGACACGACATTCCAAGGACCGAATAAAGCATGACGATGAACCAGGAGTCGATAGAGCAAATGCTTCTCAAGCAGATGCGCGAGTCGTCTTCGTAATTTGCTCGTACGGGACAAGAAGTTCACAAAAGCAAGACCTACAATCATGCCTGCAAGGCAGATTGCGTACAAGGTAATGACCCAATCCATGACGAGGCTGTAATCAGGGTAGGAAGGGGGCTTATAAAACGTTTGCACACAAACTGCATCAAGAGCAAGGCTAGACGCACGTAATATTGAACGAGGAGAAGTCAGTAGGCTTCCTACAAGGTACAGCAATGCCGTAGAAGTCTAGATGAAAAGAAGACATAGGGTTTTCTGTTACAGAGCCAGAAGTGGCTGGTAGAAGCTCGATTTGGCGCCAGCGTTGCCTAGAGCTGGCACTGATATTTCCTCGAAAAGACTGACGCACGTGCCAAGCTGAGCAGGCCGAGAAGACAGTCGGTATCCCGATGTCTCATGAGCAGATGCTGTAAGTAGCCGTGAAAAACGTGGCTACGTGGAGATGAGACCAACATTTTTCACTTCCTTGATTGACGACGCCGCATCGACATCGATCAGAAATATAAACCCGTCCGAGTTGGCATACCAGCGGCCCATGTCATCGATACATAGCGGCTTCTGTTTAGTCTTCTTAAACATGAGAAACTGACCGGTGCAGCTCACGGCCTCGACGTGGTGGCGGTTGTGACCCTTAAGCGGCTGGCAAAGCTCTTGGCCGGCTTCTCCATATTAGAATGCGGATCAATAGGTTCATACTATGATATCCGAATTCCCCCGCTTTCAGCTCCTAGAGATGTACTTGCAAATCTTTACTAATCCTGCATCGGTCACCAATATGTTATTGCCATCGAGCCAGGGATGCTCAAATCCTTGGGCTTCTAAATAAATAAGACTAATTAGGGACCTAAGACGAAACATAAATTCACTCTTGATCCTTAAATGGTTGCTCTTTTCGTCGTTTACCTGCATGTATGCGTAGATAAACTCAACAATATTCTGGTGATGGAGCTTTCTTAACTTTGACAGAGATTCTTTCACCTTGAGATCCACTTCTTTGATGCGGACTAGCTTTCCCTGTCTCACTGCTACTGTCAGGCTGCCCCCGACATCATGTAGCTTGAATTACTCCTGGTAGTGTTCCCAAGGTGAGTTCCATTCGACGTCGGTCGTGGGGGTCGAAAAAGGGTTTCTCAGAGAGCGAATGAGAATCTGCGCCGAGTCTGTAAACGTGATGTAATCTGTTGTCTTCTCTGGGTGTGATGCGATGTGCGAGTCATCGTCCGTTGCTGGCGTATCAGCCACAGCATACAGTCTATGATCTGATGTAGTAGCATTACCAAGGCTATAGTGAGCTGGAAAAATGGCTATCTGCGTCTTTCGTTTGGCTTTCATGATGTTTGTCCGAATGTCTCATCTTGCTCATGTGTTGATTTAACGGTCGTCCGATGGCGTATAAGTAAGCTGCCTTAAAGTAGATTCCGGCGGATGCGTAAGGCAAGCGGTTACCATATTAGCCCTAAAATTGGCGAACGAAGAGTTTTGTCTCAGTCTTACGAAAACTGTTTTCTACCTAGCCTTCTCTACCCGAGCGATAGAGAGTGGCTCAGCCATGGTATCTGCATGGAGGGACAAGCGAGCTGCTACCTTGGTAGTTCGGTTGACCTTGGCAGGCGGATGAAGCATAGCCACAGTTACCTACACAGTCCTCGATCGCGTGGCGGGCAGTGAAAGGATGGAATCCATACTCCTGATTTTTTTAGGGCAAATTACAGGAAGTAAAACAAGCTACATTGTCAAGAACGGAAGCGTGATCAGATGTAGTATTTGAAGCGGCGATGCGCGTTCAAGTTACTCTATGGGTCAAAAAGCCCAGCACGCAAATCCTTTTGACGCACTAACCCCAAAGCCCACAAACTATGAACCTGGAGCTCGAATCGAGTACAGAAGTAAGTAAAGGAAAAAAAAAATCCTTGAAGAATTACCCCTTCGATCTATCATTCCATCTTGCGACGCAGGCCGTCCAGCAGATATTGATACACCACGCATAAAACGCACGAGACCACAAGCCACCAGCCCGTCACCGTCGTCGTAGCTATGGATGTTCCCGACCACTGGCCTCCGTGAACCGTGTAGATGTTCAGAATGGTGGACAAAAGTCCAATCAGCGAGTTCACCAAGGTAGGACTACGTTTTGTAAGCAATGATACTTACGGAACCAGCTCAGACAGAGACTCTTACACAATGATATGCTGATGCACCCAGACGTAGTTTGTGCGCCATTTGAACCACAACCATGCCAGACCGATGGATGCCGCACCCGAAAGTATAGACGCAAGGGCAATCAGACAGTCGTTGACCCAGTATGAGACTGTCTGTCCAACCCTACCCATGCTCTCAAGAACTTGCGATCGCCTCAGTGACTCGAACGTGGAGGGAAATACGATGTAGCCGGCCAGCAACAGCCACGAAAAGATTTTCGCTAGGAGGGACCACCATCAGTCGATCTCTTTGTCGTTTTCCAGCACCATCGCGTCGTATCTAGAGACCGCATAGGGTTTGACCTGATCATCTATGTCGTACCTTGGGGGAGGGGTGTCGTCATCCTTCATTTTCTTCAGCTATATAGTACGTATGTACAGTTATGAGCATATATATTGTCCTCTTTTAACTAGAGTACTTTCTCTCTTGAGCTAGAGTGGAGCCGAGCCAGTACTTAGATCTACCTAGCGCGGTCGAAAATAATCCACAAATGGCTCCAAAATAAGCCGTGGTAACCCGTGATTATCTTGCGCTGCTTGTACTCCAAAGTATACTAGTAGAGTTGCAAGTACCCCAGTCAGTAACCTACATAACGACAGTGCACACGACATGCCCCAGTACAGAGCACATTTACCAGAGTACATCAACTCAAATGTGGGGAACCCTTAGTCATTCATTTCCAGCATGAAGAACATATCATGTGACTAGCATAATGACGTTGATGGAAGTCTATGGAAGGTTATGGAATACTATCGAGCGCTGAGGGTGTTCAAGCAGTGGTTTACACAAGGCGTCAGAGCGAATGTGCGAGAACTATTCACGTTTTTGTGTTATATTGCAGTGTCTCAGCCACTATGGATGAGCCTCAGTCCTATCAAATTGATGATGCGAGCGATCCCCCAGAGTTTGAAACTTCCGAGAGCGACACTTCCCAAATTGCCACACTTACCCAAACCAGCCGGCTGAGACCCGCCGGAAGCGCCTTATCATTCGTGCCATATGCTGACTGGGAGCCAGAAAGGTCATACGAAGGCGAGCCAACGATACGTTATAATGTGGAATGGACGTTATTTGTAAAGAACAGGACACAAGCTGGTGAATCTGAACTTGATGTGGTGATATCACCACGCAATTTCTGGAAATACGTCCTCCGACCGAAGGTGATCGATGCGAGTGCAGATGAACCTTGGGCGGAGGATAAAACGAAGCTTATTATGTCCGTCACCGACCGCAGAACAAGAAAAATAACGAAGTTTTGTAAAAAGTTGGAAGTTGATTGGCCGTTCGTCACCAGACAGCTTCAAGAATGGAGCAAGTTTCTCAAAGATGGGAAAAAAATTACTCTCACGGTTACGTTCTACTACAAGTGTGTAGACACCGGCAAATCTAGCAGAGGTGGAGCGACGGCCAATCAGCTAGCAGACTTGGACGCCAGAACCGAAGGTTTAGGCAGAGGAGCATGCATCAAGAAGGCCTATGCACTAATGCGTTGCCCTGACCGTTCTTGTACAAAAGGGGACCACTGCTGGCAATACGAAGGCAAACACTACCGACTACTACCTCACCATATAAGGATGCTTGCGGATCACCTACAGGCAGGCAGGGTTTTGAACGGACATGACGATGTTCCAGATGAATTCCGTCGATTAGTTATGGCTGATGCACGTGAGCAAGAAGAGAGAGAACAAAAAGAGTTGGAGAAATTGCGAAAACCTAAGCGGAGACGACGCTACTCAGACGATTCGTCCTCTAGTTTGGCAGCTGTGCGTTGTCATCGATGTGCACTACTTCCAGGAGATCCCGGTATTGGAACCAGCGCCCCCTCAACTCCACAGATGGTGTTTTCGTCGTCTTCTCTGCCAGGCTGTGGTCTGTTCAGGGAAGATGCTGTCAGGGCTTACACTGTGTGGCAGCAGTCCCAAGTGAGCACCGAAGAACAGAAAGAGCACTATGATGCGGTACAAGAGTTGACCTTGGCACACTGTTATGACTTGGACATGCTTGCAGCCAACCAGAAAAGGATGTTTGGATTCTATACAAAGCATGGGGTTCCTGCAGGTATTGCATGGCGTTATGTTCGTGATGTGGAAGCCTTTCTAGAGCAGCGGGAAACATAGAGAAGCATATAGCAACACAACGATTTAGACAATGGAAATTCAAAAACGAAGTATATTTCTGTATGCTGTACGCTAAGCTTCTTCCGTTGAAATCTGTGCCTTCCGAAAATGACCCCTCGCAACTCTCTTGTTCTCTCCCACAACTCTAATTTGCATCTGGAGATACGATTTAAAATCGCCCTGGATAAGATCCTCGTCCTCCAGGAATTGCTTCCTAATACGATTCTTGACTGAGCCAAATAAATACTCGATCGGGTTCAAGTCTGGAGAGTACGGTGACTGGTATTCAATGATCACGCCCGCTTGGGTAAACTTGTCTTTCAGAGCCGGGGAGAAGAAATGGAACGAGGCGTTATCCATGAAAATGACGGATCGTGGCGCTGGGTATCTGCCGCACAAGGGCAGAAGTCGTTCGAGGAAGCCCTCAACTATGTTCACGTCCGTATTTTCCTCATACACCTCGGAGTAAATCACACCGTCAATAGTGTATGCTGGCAGCACTTGGACTCTCTTTCCTCGGTGGAATCGCTTGGTCTGTACCGGCGTTACACCTTTCGGGGCGTAACCACGTTCCAGAATTGCGAGACCCCGATCACTTCCACTTTCATCAATAAATATCATTTGTTTGACTTTGTAGTGTGATCGTCGTTCTATGTAATCGTCTCGTAGATCTGGGTTGCGCTCTTTCGCAATAGTCCGTGTGACCTTCTTCGTCCAGCCAGCTCGTTTCAACACCCTACCGATGTTGAATCGTGATACTTTAACCTGGTATTGCTCAAAAAGGAAATCAGCCATGGATTGTTGACTCAGGCAAGGATGCTCTTCTAGGTGGTTCTTGAGAGCAAGCCACATGTTCTCTGTCACTTCTCTTGGTCGACCTGTAGCTCGACGTGGAGGGTCGATAGTGCCATGTTTGAGTATTTTGGAACGAGCACGACGAATAGTTCGCGTGGTGCAGGAGACAATTCGCTTAGCTATTTCTTCATCTGTGATGGTTTCCTCGCCCTTGAATTTGCTTATAATAACGTTCTGGAGTTCGGTTCGCTGGGGCTTCGATAATCTGGTTGACATATTAGGTCGTACAGCTCCAGGTTGTAATGCGAGCGTGTCCTCGATCTTCCTTCCGGCAGCCCTGAGTTGAACGGCAGAATATTATTCCGGTAATGCACTCAGCCTCGCATGTCGATGATTACCTCATCTCACAGTGGAGATATGGACAAACCCGCTCGGCTCCCGGAAATACCTATCACCGGGTCAGTCGCGTGTTCAGGACGGACGCGTCGCCACTTTTTGCGTTTATCTCTACACACTCCGTATCTCGATCTAATACTGCTCGCACTTACCCTAAAGCCACTCGGTGGCCCGTTCATTGAACCCCCACAATCATTCAGCCCTGCTAATAGATCAACTTTGGAAAATGTCCAACATTACAGGGGTGACCATCACCGAAGATGGGGTCCCAGTTTGCGAGTGTGGGTACAAAATGGTCGAGCGAACGACGCGCATGCCAGCGAGTGAGAACAGGTCTGCCACCGACTATGACTGATGTACTGTACTACCCAGCTAAGCTATGTATTCTTAAAGAGGTAAATGTACTGACTTATTTAGTTTGGCGCTGCTGGAAGCTTCGAAGGAAAGACCAGTGCAATAGCAAAATCTGGTTCAGAGAATTCGCCCAGGTGAAATCGCAACTCGGTCCCGCGCCGAAACCCAAAGAGCCATACACTTCGAATCCCACGCCGGAACCCGAGGAGCCACGCACTCCGAAAAAATACAAACAGAGACCCATTGATTCTTTTTTAACCCCAACGACACCTGAAAAGCTCAACAGGTTGCCACAAGGGAATAGGTCCCCCAGGGTGCAGAACCATGGAGGTAAGTATCTCAGCACAACCTCAAACTTAAGTCTAGAACTATATTAATCGATTTTGTCAATAGTAATCACACCCCCCCACAGTAAACGGCGAGAAGTGAAGACACTCTCCGAACCGATTACTCCTACGAAGAAGAGAAAGACGGAAGCCCCGATGGTCGATACCAGTTCTAGCAACGTGTTTAACCTCGTTGGCATGATCGACGAATCTACAAATGCAGAGGTCAAGGCAACTTTTTGTCTGTACAAGGGGTTGCAGATCGGCACATTTCTATCCCCCAAGGCAGCGCATATCACCTCATCATTAAAAAGGCTCAAGACATCTCCAGAGACGCCTGAAGAAAATCGGTAAGGTGAAAGCCTTTTTCATGAGATTCTAGCAATACATATGTCTAGGATCACGCTATGATTGTTGAAGAAACAGTTTGGTTTCGATCACTAGTAGAACGATGTCTTAGAATTTGAGGGCTTAAGGTTATCTTGGATGATATCGACGATCTAGTTATAGAATATATATATGTTTGGGGAAGCGTTTTAAATCTTGTCGCAATGTGAGCACTGTTTTCATCTGGGAAGCATGGCATTTCAAGCCGACGAGACTGACAGAACCTACTCTATCGATACTACCAATATCTGACTGGGTCGTGGTCGCATTGGAGCCAAGCAAGGCACGGCGGATCTCGGAGTCGCTATCACAAAGCCAAACGATAGCCTCCCGCATTCACTTGTCACCTGCATACGGACTAGTTAATGCCTGCAACTATGCAGCAGGACCGTGGCGGATGTCGTGGCTGCGACTGATTGGCACATCTTAGTGTGCCCCACACTGTATTACCTGAGTTCAAAACGCGACTCATCGTTTCAGTGATTCTGGGCGCATTCCTGTGAGAAACAGCTCAACAACACTTGGGTTTGAGGAGCAACTCTGCCCGAGGTCCTTCGAAAGTGCCATCTTATCGAGGCTGCCATTTTGGCATTCCAACTACAAAGATTATTCACAGACGGAAATGCCGATGTGGTCGTGTGTGGCAGATGCCTGCAAAAAACCAGCTGTACAGAGGGATGGAGACTGTTTGTTGTGCGATAAACACTTCTGTCGCGCCCATCTCCGACAACCATGGCACAGTTGCCCGAAGCCAGAGGTCTGTCGCTCCGAAGTTGGAAACGGCTGGAAAATATTTACTAACCTGTTGTTTAGGACGACTGGGAGTCGTATTCACGTCAATATACAGCCACAGAAGCCAGCCATATCGACAATTTACGTCGTCGGATAGATGGTTCCAAGCTGTGTAGCCGTGCATCAATGCTGAGGAACGGCATAAGCTGTACCGTTGATCTGTCTCCCAAACATTTGTCTGCCATGATGGGAAACCAAAACTGCCACGCTGAGATCATCTTTGAGGACGGTGTGAAGTGGCTTGCGCGATTTCGACTTCCTAGGACAACTTCGCCTCCGCAAGAAGTCCGCGACTTCATCCTTCACAGCGAAGTAGCTACAATGTCCTACCTCCAACAACACACCCGTCTCCCCACTCCGAAAATTTTTGATTGGGCCTGCGAATCCGATCCGGGAAATCAGCTTGGGGTTAGCTATATCCTTATGGAAAAGCTCGACGGAAGGCCTTTAGATTGGCAGACGGCGAGTTCATCTCAAAGGGAGAAGATCATGCAACAATTGGTGGACGTATTTCTCGAAATCGATAAGCATCCTTTCGAATCAATGGGTTCACTCACCATGTCTAATAGCGTTCCTGGCAGTTTTGACATGCAAGGGTTTGCACAACAATCGACATACTGGATGGGAGCCGGGAGGGGGTTGGGTCCGTTTTCTTCCCCATTGGACGGGTACCGCGCTATAGTCGAGTCAAATCTCTCAATGATAGCCAGCGGCGAACTTGCCGCCTACTACCCGTTGGAGGCTTACCTTACACATCGCTTCCGTCTGGATGTTATTGGCAGCCTCTGGAAAGATATTTCCAGTAGAAGCCAATTCTTTCTCAAGCACCCGGATGACAAAGGAGACCACATTTTGGTCAATGATACCTTCGATATTGTCGGAATCATAGACTGGGAATGGACTTGCGTAGTTTCCCGTGCCGAAGCCTTCTCCTCCCCATTAATGATGTGGCCTGTCACCAAATTTTACAACAGTCTCAACGAGCTATCCCCAGATGAACTGAGATTCGCTGAAATATTTCGAGAAAGAGGTCGACAAGACCTCTCTGACTGTATACTCGACGGCAGGAAGATTCAGAGATTTCTATTTGCATTGGGTCTGGAGACTCCCCGGGACGAAAGAACCATTATTGATCTTTTTAAGGGTCTTCAACGAGCATTCGGCTATGAGGATGAAGCGTGGCAGGTATGGAAGTACAAGGTTCTCAAAGAGTGGAAAGACGATAAATTGCTCCAGATATTATTAGAGCCATCCGAAAATTAGGACGAAACCATATCCTAATGCATTAATCTTCCAGTCGAGTTAGTTTGATAGAAGTCTGTTGTTATTGAAATTTACTCCTATGAGCAACATCTCCCGGATAATCTCCAATGGTTCCGTTACTTCACCACCAGAAACCAGTCAGACAGGCTTATTTATCCCATTATCACCAGTAAAGAGAGGTACTCGAGTCCCATCATTATCAATCGCGACGGCAAGATTCTTCTGTGATCCGGCCGGCTTGTCTGTCTTCATGTTAAAGTATGAATTGAGTGCCGGAATAGAGGACCCACGAGTTGAGCAATAACGGCCACCACTCAAGGCCCAGGCATCGCAGCCAGTGTGGGCGCATTTTTCAGCCATGATTGTTGATTGTATTCTAATCTATAGGCTGTTTTACCGGGCTTCAACTTTTGCAGGGTTCGAATCAAAGAAATTTTAACGATCATTGCCGACCGAAGGAAAGGGATGCGAAAATCTGCGAGCTCAAGTACTTTGAATCAAATGCCCTTTATGTGTAGTCTCCTCTAAGTGAGCGGCCGCATTATATGCCGCAGTTGACGAACTAGGCAATCCGGATTTAGGCAGCCGCACCCTCCAGTAAACGACCAACCACCAGATTGTCTTCTCCCCCCTCCATCTGCTTGGTTTTCGTGGTTGTCAATTTCGCCGAAGCTCTATTGTGGGGTTCTAATTGTCCTCAAATTGGAATTTGACGATAGACATAGCGCCAATGAGACATTCCCCGACCTTATCGCTCTTAAATCTAAGGCTTGTACAGTCCCGGCCGGGCCCAGATCACACGATCTGATCTTTTTGAGGGTGTTGCATATGTCGGCGTCCTCGACTATCCTAGTGCCGTTTGTAGCCGTGTTGACGTTCGTGCTCATGTCCACTGGCACCCCGGCATCCTTTGTGTGGACTCGGCAGAACTCAACACGGAAGTCTTGTCTATGACCCATCCTTATTAATACTGTCGTGAGCGTCGTGAGAGATAATCTATTCTAGTTTGATAGCCGACGCAGACCTTTTCGACAAGATTCAGCATGCGTCTAACAACAGGCTGGCGCTTCGTGAGGGAGACCGGTTGGTTTAGTTCATGGACTGTGCCGCCAACGTGTTCGTTGGTTTATCGGCCATCACGACGTTTTGCTCCTTTACGGACAGCTAGCTCAATGCGACTGTCCAGGACAGTGCATTAGTCTTTGGCCACTCCGATGCTCGCTCTTGATCTGTTTATTGAATTAATAAATTTGTAGCGTATCCTATAGCGGTGAACGCAGGACAGCAGGAATTGGCCTGGGTGTTATTCTGTCCGCATTGTGTCTGCTACTTCTCCACATGTTCCCATTGTAACATATAACAGACAAAAGCAGAGTAATTAAGGAATAAGTATTGTGGTCTGTGCGGAGCTGTACTCAGTACGTATTATTTGAAGATAACACTATGTGGGTCATAGTTTAGAAATTTCTAAAAAATATAAAAGAGGACGTAATTAATGCTCATCACTGTATAATACAGTACATTCAACACCCTGAGAGAATTAAGAAACGAAAAAATAGCATTACTGTATAGTTCAGTGGCAAATAGAATGATCAAAGACCCAAAAAGGAGCAAAAGTCGGCTCAAAAGCGAAACACCGAAAACTTTTACACCGTTCAGAAGGATACAAGGAGCATGCCAGGAGCATAAAGAGGCCTTAGTCTACTAACTGCCTGCCTTAGCACGGCTGAAATATCTGTCTGTCTACTATGTAGGATTGGCCAGGATCTTCGATGCCCGCATATCCATTTTATGGAGTCGTCTATAGCTACGTCTAGGATAATGTAACATGTATCGAGATGACGCATTCTTGCGCGCAGCAGACATGGCTATTCAGGCGGTTTGCAGTACTTTAATAGTCTAGAATGCGGTGCAATTCGCCAGATAACTCCTTCTTTCATGCTCTAATTCCGATCTCGTTATCTTGAGCAATTCACGTAGCTGATCGGCCAACTCGACAAGGTCCCGAACAAGGCTAAGTAGGGTTCTCCACAACCGACGCGTCGCCATAAGCTCGCTGTAAAGAGTCTTGTTCTCCTGAAGTAGGAGGGGTATGACCGTGTCATACTGTTCATCAGTCTGCTTCGTGAGTCTCAGCAACAGGTCATCTAGGTCGAAGGTGTCAGAATAAACACTTGACGTGGGACGAGGTTCCATCTTTGATGCATCAATTTTCTGGTTATGGTCCGTTTAAGTACTTTGGAGAGATCTATTTCTGGCTTAACTGCCAGCGTTAAGTAAGGCCACTTGCCCTCCCAGCGACAGTCCATCATAGCCTTTGCTCATGCAATCACGCATACCTAATTGACAGTTGTTGTGCATGCAGAACACCAACCAATGCATCGTGCTGCGAGAGTCTCTTGCCAGTCTTGCCAGCCATGGCTGCGGTCTGGTGTTGACGTTGTCGTCGACCATTACCAAGCAGTTATTTCCACCCCACTAACGAGTACACCAACAGACGTCGACCGACTCGAGCAATTCTGTCGGAACCCCCTTCCCCTACGTCTTGTTCATACCACGGTCGAGCGCTTCCTTGCAAGGACGGTGCCCGTCAACACTGATATATGGGATTTCCCCTCAGGTTTAGAAGCCTTTGTGCGGCATCTACTGTTATGGGCCGACATAAGCGGAGCTGTTTTCTGCGTTGGTCTAATCTACCTAGAGCGGGCTGCTGCGCGCGGGCGACAAGAGACTCCGCTGACTGAGATGGGACGGCGTCTTCGGGTCCTGGCGGCAATCATCCTTGCTCGGAAGCATCTTGAAGACGACACATACGATACGCGGTTTTGGGTTGGCGTGACGGCTGGGACTTGTTCGTCTTATTTTACAAACGATGATATTAATGATGCTGAGGCAAGGCTTCTGAATGATATCATTTGGGATCTGAGTATAGACATTCAGGAAATGTACGTAAAGATCAAACTGATCTGCGACCCAGACACCATTTCTATTTCAGGTTATAGGCGACTTTAAGAACAGCTGAAAGAGTTACCGTCTTTCAATTTTACTAAGCCCAAACTACGCGTCAAGTATTATTACATATATTCACACTAACTTTACTGTTATAATTTCAAGAGTATGAAGGTTTTAGTACATATCAGCCAAGAGGGGGCTTATACTAGTGTACGATCCAAATTGACTTCAACGGCGGAAAACCTAACTTCTACTTATTTACCGCTCGAAACGATCTCCAAAGAATTACCCTGCCTAGACAAGTCTCATCTCATGCTTGTCGCCTTAGCATTCATTACATAAGGACGTTCGAAAATCAGGTCATTTTTAAAGTAGGCCGGCTTAGCAAGTTCTTTAGTAACTTTGTATGCTCTATAAGGGTAACCGTAATGGATAGAGCCTAATCTGTCTTAAATACACCTAATATCAGAATGCCTAACAGGGAGTGGTTTGTTTTCTAGTTCTTATCCTGTATCAGGCACACCCAGTCACGCCGGTAAGTCATGTAATTCTGTCAATCGCTCTCGATCTGCCTTGTCGTTGGGATTGTATAGGGATGTCTACATCTTTCAAAGTAGCATATCATCCCCATTTTATCGGTCGGTTTAACATAGCTCATTTCTATAATGCAGCTAAATACTAGAAGCTTTAACTAAAGCAAAGTCTGAGGTAGCGTTGGTGTTGATCTAATGTCTGACCTAAACGCCGTCCTACAAGACTTCGACCCAATTGATTCCGACAGCGATATTTACATGGGTTTTACCGAGGGTTACGTTAACGGCCCTGTGTCTGACCTGGACGCCCCTTCCGAAGATGTTGGTCCAATTAATGGGGACAACGACTTTCAAAGACAGTCACAGTGATCAACTGCCTGGCACCTTCTTTCTAGTCTCAGCTACTTTCCACATAATCGAGAAAAAAGTGGACCGATTTGTGATTCGCGACGTACCGAGAGCCCGTTGAAGTCGATGGCATACGCGTTGCCGAAAGACCTCTCAGCTCTGAAGGATCGAATTCAGACGATGGCATGAAATCTAGGGTCCAAAAGGTGCTCCCGCCGGACGCCGCAAGACAGCAGCGATCTCCCCGCATGGGTACTGCGAAAACCCCTCGGAAGTCGCGCTAGGTCAGGGGTCAGTTCCCTGCATCCTGGTCCTGCTAGTTTCTTGCTCTTCCCCAACCCCTCCAACGAGTCCACCAGCCCTGGCACCCTAGTCACCCCATCAATTCTTCCCCTGGTCTGGACCTGGTCAATCCACCACGCAGTAGATCAAAATGCGGCCATTTGCTCATTTTGTAACACCAAATTTGATACTTTACCACATAGTAGTACGTCCCGCCCCGCCGCAGCGCCTGGATCTGCTTTCGACTAGGATGCAATAGTGTTTGCTTGCCCAAGCTGCCAAGGATTGATGGTTTAGTGACGTCAGTTTACAAGGGGCCCAATCACCGTTCCCACGTCGAAGCCTTGGGGGCGGATGGGGAAAGAGGGATGGGAGAGTATAAGTAGAGACATCTTGTCCGGTTTGAGTTAAGAAATTTCTCTTAGTGGGCTGGGCCTCCTGCCCCTATTTCCTTTGTTTCCCGCTGATGCCATTCCAGCGATGCCGTTGATCCTTTTTCAGCGATGCCACTAAGTGATGCCGCCGAGACGTGACTCCTCGAGCGATGCCGCCGCAACGGTTCTGCAATGTTTCTTTTGTTTTCCGCTGATTCTTACCAGCGATGCCACTGAGTGATGCCGCCGAGACGTGACTCCTCGAGCGATGCCGCCGCAACGGTTCTGCAATGTTTCTTTTGTTTTCCGCTGATGCTTACCAGCGATGCCGTTGATCCTTTTTCAGCGATGCCACTGAGTGATGCCGCCGAGACGTGACTCCTCGAGCGATGCCGCCGCAACGGTTCTGCAATGTTTCTTTTGTTTTCCGCTGATGCTTTTCCAGCGATGCCGTTGACGCTTTTCCAACGATGCCTAGTGATGATCTTCCGTTGATTTACGCTGATGCTAC